AAGAAGGCTGGTTCTGTGGAGTCCTGTCCAGACCAGAACGAATTTTTGGCCGTCGTGCACCTATACTTATGTGAAATTAAGTAGATCAAGTCCTCCACGGCGCTCTGCCAATACCATTGGCTGCAATTATGGTTGCAATTTGACCAATCGTAAAGCCGGAATTGAGCTATTGGCGACACTAATTGTAGACTTATAATAATAGAAATATTTTGGTCTTTATTGATTTTTAAACTCCTAATTTTTTCATTGGAGGTATATACCTAATTTCGAAACAATTTTAATATGTTGTCACCAATTTCCCTATTAAAATGATGTCTTACTGGAGTGTATCCATTATTTTTCAAGTACGCTATTAATTACTGTCGTATATTTAAGTAGCACTTAAAATAAAAATGTTTACATTCATTTATACAAAAGACACCTATTGATTGTACAACATAGTCCACTTAATTTTTTAGAAGCATATTATTTTATACTATACCTTAGCAAGGTCACTGGCATGCTACATAGTAAATAACGATCGGTACGAAAACCAATGTTTGCTTTTAATATTTGAACATCTATTGTCAATAATTAACATTTTGAAGCGAACATCACTATAATACGTTAAAAGTTTTAACTGTTTTCTACAAAAATACATGTAATTTTCTTTGCTTATTATCAGCAATATTATCAGAAATATTGACAATAATAATATGCATCTTACTTAAAACAATAAAAACAAACATCTTAAAAATGTCAAACGAACATAAAGTGTTTTTCTGTACATACTGAGGTAAATTTTAATTGTACATATTTTAAAAAGTGAAATTCTCTTTAAATGCCGGATTAGACATCAATGAATTTACCTTAATTTCAGTATGATGATCGCTTGCCTTATTTTGTGTATATATATTACGTATTGTTCTTCTTCTAGTTCCATGACCGTTATCGATCGTTGGATATCATGTTGGCTACCATATTCGCTATCGTGACTTTATTGACAGCAGCTCTAAATAACGATGTAGTTGATTTTCCATACCATTGCCTTAGATTTTTCAACCATGATGTTCTTCGTCTACCAGATTACCTTGGATCTTTCCCTGAATGATCCGTTTTCCTGAATTGCGTTTCTTTATTATATTGACCAGTTGTGTTGTTTGGCTCAGCCGTGTAAGGACCTCCTCATTTCTTACTCTGTCGACCCAGCTTATTTTCAGTAGTCGTCTGTATACCCACATCTCAAAGGCTGTCAAGCGTTTAAGCATAGCCTCAGTTAGAGTCCACGCTTCCACTCCATACAGCAGGACAGGAAAGATGTAGCAAGATGTCATACGAACTCTAAGCTCTCATTGATATTACTGCCGAGATACACGAGTTTCTCTACTCTGTCCAGTGTGGCATCTCCGACTTTTATACCGTCATCCTGTATATAATTTTGTTTGCTAACTATCATATAATTTAGTTTTCTTAACGTTGAGTTTTAATCCATACTGATCACAAGTCTGTTTTATTTTGTTCATTAGATTTTGAAGGTCTTCTCCGCAATTGGCAAGGACTAAGGTATCGTCGGCATATATAATATTGTTGACGGTTACTCCATTCACAATAATACCTTCGGTTGTCTCCATTAAGGCTTCCTTAAATATTTCCTCCGAATATAAGTTAAAAAGTAAAGGCGACAATATACAGCCTTGTCTCACTCCTCTTTTTATATTTATTTCATCCGACAGTTCTTGTTCAACCTTTATTCTTGCCACTTGATGCTAGTATAGATTTGTAATTATTTGTAGATCTTTATTGTCCAATCCAGCTGTTTCCAATATTTCTGACATTTTGTTATGTCGGACTTTGTCAAAAGCTTTTTCAAAATCGATTGCACAAATGTACACATTATGATTTATATCTCTGCATCTCTGTACTAGCACCTGTATACTAAACAAGGCTTCTCTTGTACCCAAGCCACTCCTAAACCCAAATTGAGTATTGCTAATTCTGTCCTCTAACAGCGTGTAAATTCTGCTGTGTATTACTCGCAGGAAGATCTTCAAAACGTGACTCATCAGACTTATTGTCCGATAATCACCGCATGTCTTTGGACGATGTTTCTTAGGTATTGTGACAAATGTCGACTTTAACCAATCAGTTGGTAATATCCCAGTGTCATAAATTCTGTTAAAGAGATTACACAGAGCTTTAATTCCATTTTCTCCCAAAAACTTTAGTATTTCAGCACTTACTTCATCGGGGCCAAGTGCGTTTCCATTTTTTGCCGTTTGTATTGAACGTCTTACCTCACTTTCTGTTAGATGGACCTGATATAGCAATCGGTGTATAGTGTTCTACTCTCTCATCTTCAAATAATTCAGAAATTTAGTTTTCCCATTTCTGTCTTCTAAACTTTGGAATACTTGTTTCCGTTTGTTTCCAGCGACCTCTTTTAATTTCTTGTGCAGATGAAATGTATCGTGTTTCTTTTCATATTGTTCAATTTCATTACATTCTTTACTATGAAATTGTGTTTTCGCGTGTCTTATCTTCTCCCTGATTATTGCGTGGATCCTCTTGTATTTGTTTTTATCTTTAATTCTGACTTCTCCTCTTTGATCCATAAGTCTCAGTATTTCTTCTGTCATCCACCCTTGTTTTTTTCTTGCTTTTAGCGCACTCAATTTTGTTTCTTGAACAGTCTTTAAGATGTCTTGAATTCTCGTCCAGTTTTCCTCAGTACTTTCTTCTTTGCTTGATGTTAACTTCATTTTTTGTTCTAATATACTAGTTATTTCTTGTTTTACAGTATTATTTAGCATCGTTTCTCTATCAATAGTAACTGTTTGCTTATTCGTCCTTGCAACTCTTTTTAATCGCTGGTCTTATTTTTCCTACTAAAATATTGTGATCTGTTGGTACATCTGCGCCTGGATATGTTTTTACTGCTAATACTGAATTTCTGTATCTCTTATTTATACATATGAAGTCTATTTGGTTACGAACAACTCGTTCATATGTATCTGCTGGTGATTTCCAGGTGTAAAGACGACGTTTTGGAAGTTTGAAAATTGTGTTCGTTATTACTAATTGCTTTTTTACGCAAAAAGATGCCAACATATCTGCTCTTTCATTTCGTATTCCCAGACCATATTTCCCTATGATATCTTCCTGTTCACCTTCACCAATCTTTGCATTAAAATCTCCCATGATAATATTGAGATACGTCGTGTTTCTTTGTAGGTGCTAATACTATTTCTAAATCATGATTGAATTTTTCAATTTCTTGTTGTTCATAGTCTTGTGTGGGTGCATATACTTGTAATATGTTCACATTGATTGTTGTTGATTGTATTTGTATCATCAGTATCCTGTCTGAGAATAGGACGACGTTTTTTACAGCTTCATCTGTTTCCTTCGACACAATTATTGCTACACCATTTTTTGTGTTTTGAGCTGTCTTCTCCTGAATAGTATACAATGTGATCATCTACAGTTACTTTTCCAGACCCCGGCCATCTCATTTCACTTGTGTAGGATTTAAATTAATATTTTTCATTATATTTAGATATAGATAGATATAGATACCTAATATTAGGCTCTTAGTAAGAATGAGTCATTTCTATGAGAGAAGGGAGTATTTGACAACAGCCATAAAAAAAAGAAGAAACGGAAATATTAATGGAAAGATGGCAAGAAGAGTGGAACAATACGTAAGATATTGAGTATATTAACTAAGAAACTGGGTAGAGTGTCTGTTCTGGAGCATATCTTCATAATATTAAAAAGACAGATACATAAAAATGCCAAAAAGACAGCCTTACAGCGGTCATCCCACTTTCGTAGTACAGTACGGGCGACTTAACTGTGCACAAGTAGAAGAGGGTGGTTTTAGTTGGTAGACAGGATAACAGATACCTGAATCTTTGGCACTGCTATCTTTAGTACTTTAAAATAAAGTAGAACAAAAATTTTAAGGACTTAAAATGGAGGAGCATAAAAAAAATTTCGGTGCCCAAACAACCCCTCACCAGGAAAATTCTAGATGCGCCATTGTTACTGTTATTTTTTAAAAGATGATTTGTTTATATGACTGGTTTTGTCTTTGGTATGTGTTAATGTATACTATTATGTGCAACGTATTATTCCATAGAAATAGTCAAAATCAAATCAAAATTATTTCCGGATTGAAAATCGAAACGTCAAAAACAACATAAAATGTAATTTTTTTTATCAATCAAATTGTGGTTTAATCCCATTTAATAATATTTAACTTCAACAATACCAGAAAAGTTTCAGCTATTTTCTTGTGGCATTGTAAATTAATTGCTATTTATAACTGGGAATAAGCCACAATTAAAGATAAAAATACGTTTATTGACGTTTCAATTTCCAATTCGGAATCATTCCCAAATACCGAATTATTTCGAACGATTTCCGAATTGAAATTGAAACGTCAATAAACGTATTTTTATCTTTAATTGTGGCTTATTCCCAGTTATAAATAGTAATTCATTTCCTATTATCATGTTAATACCATTACGTAGTTACCAGTACAAATGATTCTTTTTCAGCGTAATCTTAATCAAGTCGAAACATTAGCCAATTCAGATAAGGCTAATTAGCATACCAAAGGGTTAAAACCTCCCTAAGTCTGTACTACACCACTAATAAAGGACCTCTTACGAATTTACATCCCTTATTGACTTTTAAGCTTAAATTTAAATATATATCGACTTTGTAAAGTGCTCTAGGGTGTTTTTTTTAAATTTTAATCATTCTAGTGTCTTTCATTTATAGTCCTTTTTGTGATTATTTCCTGTTCATTTGTTTTCCACTTTATTGTAGGTCTATCTCATCGTCCTTAAACGATGGTGACTATTTTTGAATTTTCTGAGACCATCTTGCTTCGGACCTGATTTTAAGCGCTTACTCGTATTATACGGAATATGTAACTATTAACAGCTGATATGCCACAAGAAACAATATAATATTCCGCTATAATATGTTCTAACGTTATATTTTCTTTTCAGGTTAGAGATTTAGTCGAAAAATGTACCTGTCCAACTCAATTTCCGATGATAAGGGTTTCTGAAGGAAAATACAGGATCGGCGATACCAAAGTTCTTATTTTTGTCAGGGTGAGTATTAATATTTAATTTCACAGTAATCATATTGATGACTTACTCAGTTTGTATTAAACAAGAAGTCTGCGACAGGGAAATTATCGAATCAAATAAATTTAACAGTATATTTTAGATATTAGAAACATCCTTTTATTTAACAAGTATTGTAATATTGTTGAATTTAAGTAACTAGAAAGAAATGTAACATTGACGACAGCTGAGGTATAAAAGAGATATTAAGTAATATTAAAAGTATATTAAAAGTCATTGTTAATGGTTAATAAAAGATCTACCGAATTTGATAAAGATATGGATACGTCTGGACATTCTTTCTAAAAATGAAAGAGGAAAAGTAGAAGCGTAGGTAAGAAGATTAAAAGGTGAAGGAGAAGCATAGACAAGAGAAGGAAGAGGTGAAGGAAACAAGAAGAGCAGAGGAAAAGATGGAGACGCGTATAAAAGTAGAGGTATAAATCTTCTTCTGCCGTGCACCTGTCCACCAGACGTCCGACTTTCTGCGGCATGTAAAAGCTTGCTAGTGTTATGTATACCTGTTCAGTTCTTTATATTATATAGTCACGACATTCGTATATGACCTACTCCTCTTCTGCCCTTAATCTTTCCATGGATAGTTAGTTGAAGGATTGTCGAGATATGAATCACGAAATCCAATTCACGAAAATTTGAAGATTGCGAGAAGTCAAATTAATATGCTTAATTATTAAGCTCAATAACCTGCGGTATGCAGATGATACAATAGTGTTTTCCAATACCATAGAAGGGCTGCAAAACTTAAACAAAATAACTGAAACCAGTAGAAAATATGGACTGGACATAAACACCAGCAAAACCAAGCAAATGATCATCAGCAAGGAAAACATAACTGGAGCAAATCTGTGTATGAAGCAAATAAGAATTGAATGAGTCTCACAATACAATTACTTGGAACTATAATTAATGAGTTCTGGGACAATACCCAAGAGATTAAATGTCGCATTGGAAAGGCAAAGAGTGCCTTCTTGACTATGAGTTCTGTGTTCAAGAGCCATCACCTCACCTTAGAAACAAAAATAAGGCTCCTTAAATGTTATGTGTACTCAGTACTTCTGTACGAAGTAGAAACATGGACATTAAAGACGGAAATTCTATCAAAACTTCAGGCTTTTGAGCTATTGTCATACAGAAGGATCTTGAAGAGACCTTGGACAGAAAAAGTCACCAATGAAGAGGTACTGCGGAAAATGAACACAACTGCGGATTTGGTCAACATCGTGAAGAGCCGTAAGCTGTAGTACTTAGGCCATATAATGAGAAATCAAGGCAGATACTAGCTACTTCAATGCATTTTACAAGGTAAAATTGAAGGAAAAAGGGCCCCAGGACGAAGAAGAATATCCTGGCTTGCTAACCTGAGAGCATGGTATAGAAAGACCTCAACACAGATAGTTCGTATAGCAACCAACAAAATCATCATAGCCAGAATGATCGCCAACGTTCGGAACGGACAGGCACCCTAAGAAGAAAAAATTAATATGCAGATAAATAAATTAGAAGAACAACAGAACGGTATAAAACCGAGTTCAAAAACAAAACGACGAACAACAAAACTATTTAGAAAATAAAATAGTACAACAACAAAACGATTGAAATCTAATTTGGAAAGCCAAATAGTTTAGTTAGAAAGAAAAACCATTACCCAAGCTTCCGCATCTAATATTATTTCAGTTACTAATGTCGAATCTGAACAAGCAGCATCATCATCTTCCATACTTGAACCAGGTGCAATTAGAACTAGCAAAATTTTAAAACCACCCACATTTGATGGTCAAACAGCATTAGAAATTTATCGTTTCTTCTTCTTCTAGTGCCGTCTCATTAATGAAGGTTGGCTATAAAAATTGCAAATTCGTCTCTATCTTCTGCTTTTTCATCAGAGCGTCTGTGTGTTTAACCCGATCCAGTCGCGAATGTTTTTCAGCCAGGATATTTGTCGTCTACAAGGACACCTTTTTCCTTCGATTTGACCTTTAATAACATACTGCAACAACTCGTACTTATCATTTCTAAGTCTTTCTCCAATGGCGCTACAGCCCAAATCGGGCCTTGACCTCCTGCAAACAATGCCTCCAACCTTGTCGGTCCCGCAACGATCTTCTCCAGGTTCTCACGTCTAGCAAATTTTGCGCGTCCGCTGCCACTTCATCCTCCCATCTTTTCTGTGGCTTCCTTTTGGTCTTGTGCCCTGCATTTTACTATCTAGGGCTCTTTTCGGCAATCTTTCTGTCTCCATTCTTACTACATGACCAGTGCAGCGAAGTCTCTGAAGTTTAACGAATTCTGAGATCGGTGTCTCTTTGAACATGTCGATTTATGATTGTACCTGGATCTTCATATTCCGTTATTGTTACAAGGTCCAAATATCTTTCTAAGGACTTTTCTTTCGAAGACTTTCCAGTTTTCATTTTGTCTCTTCTGTCATCACCCATTTATCGCATGTATAACATACTATTGGTCTGATAATAGTTTTGTAAACCCTGATTTTCGATCTCCGATATAAAAAATAAGATTTGTTTCCCTTTACTGTTCATCTTTGGATTTCTGGTTCTTCTGTTTCATCCGTGTTTAATACAACCCTTTTTTCCTTTGATTTTACCCTTCATAATCAGCGGCCAGAACTCGTACTTATCATTTCTAAGTATGTGCCCCAAATATGCTGTCTTTCGCCTTTTAATGGTGGTCAAAAGTTCTCTGTCTCTTCCCATTCTGTGCAACACAATTTCGTTCGTAATATGATCGGTCCATGGTATCTTCAAAATTCTCCTAAAAAACCACATCTCAAAAGCTTCCAGTTTTCTCATTAAGTCAAACTTAACAGTCCAGGCTTCGACATCATAAAGAAGAATAGAGTGGATATAACATTTTACCATCCGATATCATATTTGCAGATTGAGTCTTTGGTTACTTAGAAAATTCCTCATCTTCAAAATGCTGCTCTTGATTGCTTTATTCTTAAGCGAATTTCTGATTTCGGATTCAGATCTTCCGTAATCCAGACTCCTAAGTATTTCATTTTGTCCATTTGCTCAATATCTTCATTTTTATCTGGATCCTTGTAATGACTTTGCCCCTCTTACTGATAACCATGGTTTTTGTTCTCTTTGTGTTTTTTGTTCTAAACCAAATTGTTCCCCAGTATCACAAATTGTGTTTAGTAACATCTGTCACTTTCAGCGATAATGACTGTATCGTCAGCATAACGGATGTTATTTATATTTTCACCATTTATCTTGATCCATTCTGTACAGTTTTCAAGTGCTTGCGTAAATAACTCTTCGGAATATATATTAAATAGTAATGGTGAAAGTACACAGCCCTGTCTCACTCCTCTACTTATCTGTTATCACAGCCTGTTGGTTCCAATAGAGATTCCTCACTATGTTAATGTCATTTTTGTCGATTCCTTTTCTCTTTAGACATTCCATGAAAATGTTATGTTTAACTTTGTCGAAAGCTTTCTCATAGTCTATAAACGCAAAAAAAAGATCTTTTTGTTGGTCTCGACATATTTGGGCAAGAGTTTTGAAACTACACAGAGCTTCCACTGTTCCGAAGCCGTTACGAAAGCCAAACTGTCTATTACTCATAATCCGCTTCGCACTTTCTGAAAATTGTTGCATGTATAATATTTAAAAATGTTTTTAATAAGTGTGACATTAAGCTGATTAATCTATAGTCATTACAGTGTTTGGTGTTCTTGGTTTTTGGTCTTCTTTCTTTAAGTTCCATCTTCTATCGAAGGTTGGAAATCATCATGGCTATGCGGACTCTGTTGACTGTCGCTGTAAAAAGTTCTGCACTACTGCATTCAAACCATTCCCTCAAGTTCTTAAGCCAGGATATTCTTCGTCTTCCCACATTTCGCTTTCCTCGGATTTTGCCCTGCATAATAAGTTGTAATAATGCGTATTTTTGCCCTCTCATCACATGTCCCAAGTACTCAAGTTTTCGTCTTTTAATGGTTAATATTATTTCCGCCTCATTTCCTATCCTTCTAGTTACTTCCATGTTTGACATTCTTTGAATCCATGATATTCGTAGGATTCTTCTGTAACACTAAAATTCAAAGGCGGCCAACTTATTCAGATGAACTTTTTTTAGTGTCCAAGCTTCCAGACCATAAAGAAGAGTAGAGAACACGTAACATCGAAGCATTCTCAGGCGTAGTTCTAACCTTATATCCCGACAACAAAGAAACTTTTTAAGTTTAATAAATGATGTACGTGCTATTTCAATACGTGTCTTAATTTCTTTGGTTTGGTCTACATCTGATGTTATCCATGTTCCTAAGTATTTATAGTTATTAACACTCTCAATTGCAGTATCTTCAATAGTCAATTGGATATTTGCATGTGCAGATTTAGTCATGATCATGCATTTAGTTTTCTTTAAATTTATTTTCAGTCCGTACTCATGACAGCGTTCATTAAGGCGTTGCATTACGTTCTGTAAATCATTGTTGTTATCCGTAATTATTACTGTATCGTCTGCAAAACGTAAGTTATTCAAAACTTCTCCATTGATAGATATACCTTCTATTGAGTCTAAGAGCGCTTCTTGAAATACCGCTTCACTGTAGACATTGAAAAGTAGTGGGGACAGCACGCAAGCCTGGCGGACTCCTCTCTGTATTTTGATATTTTCGGTGTACTGGCTGTCAACTCTTACCTTGGCAGTTTGATTCCAATATAAATTAGATATAATTTTCAGATCACGACTGTCAATATTTTTGCTTTTTAATATATCTACAAGCTTTTTATGTTTAACTTTATCAAATGCCTTTTCAAAGTCTACAAAACATAAGTACATATCCTGATTCATGTCCATGCATCTCTGAGCCAGCACATTCAAGCCGAACAAAGCATCTCTTGTACTCATACCATTTCTAAAGCCAAATTGTGTGTCACTAATCTCATATTCAAGAGTTTTAACAATTCTGCTGTGAATTATTTTCAAAA